AAAAAAAAAAAAAAAAAAAGGAAAATATTCACGATTAAATTGCTGTACTAAAAAACGCATTTGCATATCACGAATTTTGCCTTAAACAGAGCTAATGAGAAAGAATAAAAACCCATTTTGATCTGTGTTAAAAGCTACATACCTTAACGATACTTTGAACTAAGATTTGAAGGTCGACTAAATGACTTATAAGAATAACATTCAGAAAAAACAAGCAAACAATAAACAGAAGTAAGTAACGATACACGAGTCGGCGTTTAAAATTCCCCATGGAATAAAAATTCGCTAGCAGTTCGGAACAATGGCTACGATATTTCCCTCACATACTGGGCAAATTATGTTCTGACAAAGCCTGGAATACGAGGCGTCGTTCAAGATGATTAACTCAAATCAGAAATAAAAATTTATCAGCTGGCACTTTACTGTGAAAATTGTCTAGAACTGGACCACTGTACTAGTAAAACAGTTCCGATAATAGAAAATAAACACTGGAATACTTCTAGTATATACAGATATCTGAATCATCTTTTAACATTGCCGCAATGCAGTTCCGTAGACCAATGCCAAAAGGCTTTTGGCGCCATTGCAATTCGTAGTACTTGGCAAAACAATTGCTTTTCTGCCCACAATTATTAGTACAATGTTTCCGGCGTTACTCTGCTCGTATTACTTTCACCATAGTCTACGCATTGCCCTCGGCCTTACGAAAGATCTGGTTTTCATGAGCCCCTTTTGGCCTATAAAGTTTTACACAACTTCTGGCGATGCTTTAATTCAACGGAAATGCGGGTTCTTTGAATCTGCCGCCGATCAAAGGTTTACATACAAAATACACAAGCGCAAAAATTCCTTACCAACAGTGCGGCTGTTTCCTGGCCATCTTTCGTTTGACTTGAAATACCTATTAAGTGAACTGTGGACGTCGGTAAAACTTGTCAATTCGCTACTTGAGTAAACAAACAACTATCAAAGGAACTACTGTGTGAAGTATGTTTTCATATTAATTCTTATCTGCTATTTCTGTGATGTTCTTCTGCTTCCAATCTGGTTGAATCGGCTTTTCTCCAGAGCACATTTGAATGCCCTAATTGATTCGATTTCAATTAGAATGAGGGAATCACCACTGGGTAGGGAATCCAAGAGATAGAAAAAAAAACATTTGGAGTCTTAATTGGTTTTTGTTTGTTTGAACACACGGTGAAGCTATTAGTGCTAGTGAAGTAACAGGATAGAAGGAAAAAAGAGAGGGAAGTAAACTACGGTTTGAAATGGAACCAAAAACTTGCAACTGCACTCCAATCACACTACATTGCCACCAGAAACGCAACTCGGCGAGACTATAGAAAGAAGGAATCAACATGCAAAAATTGTTTGCGGAAAGTGGACGAGAAGTGCATAGATCTACGCGAAAACGAGAAGACTAATTGAAACGGTATTTCGTGTGGCATAAAAAAAGTGAAAGAGAAATATGGACAACAAAAATATTTCTTAGAACAAACTGCAGCCATACTGCTTTGTTTTTCAGGTCTATTATTAAGGT